ATATATATATATATGCCTAAAAAAAACAGGTGTACAGAATTTGTAGCTTCACACTGTGAAATTAATTTTATAATACATATATGAGTTCTAGTCAAATGACTTCATAAAGTTTTATTAGTGCCTCCTTGATGGCCATTAAAATGAATGAAATGGTCCTGAACAAAAGATAATTGTGTATAATTTAAAACCTGATGGGGAGGCATGTTTAGTTATGTTATGTGATGTGAATGTGTGTGTGTTTGTACCTAAAGGCTGCCCCCACAGACTCTTGTGAGAGTACCACTGCTTCCCCAGAGCCGACAGCAGCTTCTGCTCATGAAGAGGGGTGATGTTACGAATCACGCCTGCTTTCTCCAGCTTCTGTACTGCAGCACAGACAGAGAAACCAATAGATAGATAGACAGAGAGAGACAGGACATTGCCATATTAGGTTTTAACTATGGAAATAATACCATTGGATTAGTAGTCTAGGCACATGCAGTGACTAAGCAGTTCAGAGAGAGGAGAGCGGAGCCTAATGGCTACTCATGGAACTGCATGCTATAAATAGTGTACACTGCATACTGCATAGAATGCACTGTATAATGTCTGCTGTTTTATAAAAGTACAGTACAGTATTCAGTAACATTTCCAATGCATGAAAATATGTGCATATCGTACACATTGTACTGCAAGCTGCAAAAATAGTATGAGTAGTATAATAGTATACTAATTTGAACATAGCCAGTTGAAAGTTAATATAATTATCTTTACATCATATTTAATGCAAAATGTCTTTAATTTTGTCAGTCCAGTCAAACAAAAAAAAAAAAAGCATGCTGCAACTGCTTCGTATACATACAGATACTCACAGATGCTCTCTCTGGCTTTCAGCTTCCCTTTGGGTGCTGGGATTCCTGGGATACGCTGGTCCTCCATGGCTCTCATGGAATCCAGTTCATGTTTGATGATGTACTGCCTTTCGGCCAGCGTCAGGAATTGCTGCATGTTGTCTGAAGAAACAGTCAAGTAACAATGAATTTTAAGCGAATAACATTAGCCATATGCAATATGAACACTCCGTATGTTGTATTTTTTTATTTGTTGGTGTGCCAGCAACTGGTGTATTGTCTTACCACATAGTTAAAAGTATTTTATTTGGCCGTCATCAGTGAAGTATAAACTTTTAGTGCATAGTAGAAAAATGCTAATTGAGATGGAGGCATATTATTTAATTGATCAAATATTCACCAATGTTGCAAAAGTTGTCACGGTCCTCAAAGGAGAAGGCCGTCATGTTTCCATCCTGGTAGGTTTTGCAGAGGCCCAGGTCCTCAGTCACTCTGAGAAGGGTACAGCGGGGGGCCGCCACAACTATCATGTCTCCTTTCATGTCCTCACCGGGGTGAACTAACAATTGAGCCCCTAAAACACAGCAGGGAAGAAGGATACAGAGTTTTAAAAGTTTATTTAATATTCCTACTAATAGTAATAGTATTAATATTAGTGTCCTTACCTCCAGCCTTCACAGGTGCAGATATCACAGACATGATCCACTGTTTGGTGATAGGCTGGATGTTCTCAGCCAGCTGGATCAGAACCAAAGGCTCAATGTGGCTGGAGATACAGCAGGGGCAGCTGACCCGGGACCAGGAGCTGGGTCCTGTCATCTTGGCCAGGGCTGAAAGTCCCTCCTGAGGATCCTTCTGGGACTTCATGGTGTCCCTGTGGAACTGTAACCCATGAGACAGTATGTATATGTATTGTTGTTTACTGTGTTTTTGCATTTTGCTATATATTTCTTAATAGTTTTCAAGAGTCAGGTGCAAAACAGGGACTGAAACTTTACTTTTTATGTGAATTATTATTTCAGTATTTATCATTAATATGAAATGTATTATTATTATTAAATCTAAATATTTTTTGTTGTTGTTAATAGTCTGCACTTTCCAAGAGTCAGGTACAAAATGGGCTAAAACTGTATTTATTATTTTAATTATTATTATTTATAATTAAATACTATAATAAGTAGTATAAACAGTATTTTGTTGTGATTTTATATTTATTTATTTATTTTTGCTGTTGTTGAGAAAAGAACAACATTTGTTTTGTTGACAGTGAAAGTTACCAAACATTGGGTCTAAATACATTTAAAACAATTTATAGATGTATTATATTTACATTTATATTTTATTATATGAAAAGGCAACCTTTTATATTTAAAATGTATAAAATAAAAAAACATAAAAATAGAATAAAAAATATATTTAATTACTTTTCTTTTTTACATTGAAGTCAATATTGATACAGTGATGTGAAAAATTTAGATTTTTTATATATTATTTTAATTGTTAGACAGCTAAAAAGGTCAAGACCTCTTAGGCCAAAATCATAATTTTAAGGGCGATACTGACATTTGCATGAACTACTTTTCATGCTAGGATAATTTTATGTTAAATAATAGTGAACTTGTTTTTGTTAATTAAAAAAAAACAAGTTTTGTGCCTCTAATACTTTAAAAACATATTAAGCAATTTGTGGAAAGTGCCTATAAAGAGTGTCTATAAAGAAATAAACAATTTTTACAATTGACCCGCAAGATTAAAGTCCGAAACAAATAAAGAAGCGAATGGAAACAAAATACACATTAACAGTTGATTCAAATCACCTCCTGTAAATGCAAACACGTGAGTGAGTTATCAGATATCTGGCTGTTTGAAAGACAATAGACAAGCTCATACCAAACAAAACACCCTTTTACAGTATCCACACAAACATCATGTACTGAGCTACATAATTCCAGCTAATGCAGAGAGCTTGAGAGAAACATAGCATTGAAGACTGAATGCACAAAGTGCTGTCAAATAAGGGCACATGTACTTTAAACTCAAATGAGAGTGAAACTAAAACATTAACAGGAAGTGAGCGAGTTACAGAACGCGAGAGAAATATTGTAGATAGAAAGGAAAAGGTTCTGCAGGCTACCTGTCAAAGCCAGGGACCTTCTTCTGTCGGAGCGCTTGAGTTTTGTTGATGTTCACACCCCCTCCAGTGTGCTGTTTCAAACAAATTGAAGTGTGAAAAACTGAAAGTCAGACTGTACGGCACACTTCTAGGATGGGTTGTTCCCCACTCTCACCCTGTTCATTCGCTGCTTTACTAGGAGAGAAGAGGAATGCAGTTGAACGTCTCTCCTCCCAGCCTTTAGGGTGTGGAAGGACATTTTCATTTTTTTCTGATGGTGGATGCTCTTCTGCAGTATGAGCACATCTGGGTCCTATTGCCTGCCATGTTTGTTTTTGAAAATAGCATATGGCTAATCTATATGATACTTTACAAGTAAAGTATACGCCATATATGAAATGAACTATAACCAATATATGGCATACAACACACTCAGCATTATGAGTGAGCATGTACAATGGACTAAAGGGAGTAAATTAGTGTCAATTGTCTTCTAGTTTAGTGCAGTTTTCACTCTGTAAGCTTCAATTTAGCTTTAGCTTTTGTTTTGTGTGTGTGTGTGTGTATTTTACAAACAATTCCAAAATTAATGCACATAATTAATAATGTGTTTTTTTAATAAATAAGAAAACATTTATAATATAAAATAGAAATGTATTATAAATATACTATTAATCATAAATATGTTATTCTAATTACACAAATACTATTTAAAATATTCCATAGAAATATTAAAATACACCATGTAATAAAACAAAAATTAATTTGTGGTAATTCATTATTTTATCGTAGTTTTTTTATTTTAGTTCATTCATATTCACTGTAACATCTTCAGTAATTCACTTTCTTTTCAAAGAAAGACTTTGACACCAAATAACACAGCAGTGACGTTAAATTTACATTTTTATTCTGCAAATTATTACATTACTGATATCCTGTAAATGTGTTTGCTCATTTTTACAACTTGTGAATTATCAGGCAGTTTTCATTACTAATATTTTGCTACTAAAACCACTGAGTGGGTGGAGACATAAAGGTGGATGAACTGGATTGACCGCTTTGTAAATACATTCATGCAAATGACCAGAAGAGCTCATGCTTCTCTAAAGAAACAGTTGGCAAGCCTTTATGTACATAAACTGTGTGTATTGCTTATATAAATAACATTTATTGTTCAAAAGTTTGGGGTCAGTAAATTTTCATTTAAAAAATGCATTTTAGCTGAGCATGGGGAAAAAATTACAGTAAAAACATTTATATTTATTTAAAATATCTAATAAATGCTGTTTTTTTTTTTTTACTCCAATCATAAAATTTTTTTTTTTTTAAATATTATGCAGCACAGCTGTCTCTGCATTCATAAGTAAGGCTTCTTGAGCAGCAAATCAGTCTATAAGAATGATTTCTGAAGGATCATGTGACACTGAAGACTGGAGTAATGACGCTGAAAATTCAGCTTTGCATCACAGGAATAAATTACGTTTTAAAATATATTTAAGTAAAAAAAAGTGTTGTTTTAATTCACAATATTTCTGTTTTTACTGTACTTGCATTGTAAATGCATTCTTGGTGAGCATAAGAGACTTCTTTCAGAGTGTACAGTCTTTCACACTTTTTCTTTTTTGCTTGCTTTTCTGTCTTTTTCAAAGTAAAAACACCACAAGATGTCCTCAGAAATATACAGTTTATTTACAAATACAATTGCATTTGCATAGAAATTTAAAATTCCAAAATAAAAATACATAGTAGTAAACAGATTTATTAGAGGCATCTACAGCTGAAGATTTTATCTGAATTAAAAGCTCGCAATGTGATTACAAGTAAACAGATAAATATATTGCTCTGTTGACTTGCCTCAACTGAAAGCGTTCTCCTATGACATAGGATCTGTCCAGGATGGTGTCACAGTTACAGAATAATCAAAAATCATTACAACGTCCAATGCATTTGATTAGTTTCCTTGTGCCAACAGAATCACGGTATGAAGAAAAGCTCTATTCAAATGTCCTTCCATGTCTTTGGCGGAAACGTCCAACCAATTGGTTCGGAAGGAGCAGGAAGGTAGCCAACGCCCCTAAGACACATATCTGGATCATTTTTACTTAAATATCATATCTATATATATATATATATATATATATTCATCTGAAACATTAAATATGCTCAAAATGACTGTATAAAGCTGAGTTACATGTGGTCACAGCTTTTCTAGGATATTTCCAACATCATTGAACCATTGACTCAAGACATAGGCAAGGGCTAAAATGAGCAAGAAACAATACAAGTGAACAGATCTGCCGTATGAACAGATGAGAGATCAGCCGAGGATGTTCTCGCTCTCCTGACGCCTGGTCAGATGCAACAGATCGTCACACCAGATGGAAGGGTTGTGCCGGCTAGATCTACATTAATAACGACGACAGAGGATTTCTACAGACCCTCCACCCTATGACAGCTACGGACGGCTGGCAACCCTCACCGGCAGGAGAGGCCCATACACCCCGCTTCACGCCCTCACCATGAGCTCAAAGTGCCAAAAGCCAGCTTCAATCCTCAATAACTTAATATCTCACTGGATATGTAACATATTACTCGAGGAGCAGCTACTTGTGACGTCCTCCGGATCCAGATATTAGTAAGTCGATTGGCAAAAAAACACCTCGAAGTGGGTGAGATGAGAAACAAAAGCGAGATCACCAGAGCAGAATGAAACGGGTGTGATGTCACAATTTGGGCGGAGCAAAGTCATGATTGACAGCTGGGGGAAGAAAGCGATGATCCGTAAGCGGTTGCAGCATCAACACTGAGAAGAATTAAAGCGTCTGAGACTTTCCTGAGTTTTCCTTAAAGGCAATGGCGCACTTGGCCACCGAAAGGACCTCCTTCTGCTAGCCTTCAGCTTCTTAACACTACGACTAAGAAATCATTTCCACTCGCACCTTCACGCACCGTCCCACACTTACCGGTCCCTGTCTATACATCTCTTTACTTTACATGGATGGGCAAAAAAATGTGAGTTTGATATTCTTGTGCCTCTAATAAAAGACATTTACAGATTTCATCCAACATTTTGATTCGTCAGTACATTCATACATAGTATATAAATATTTATATAGCTTGACATTCTATGATTCTGTTTGTTTGTTTCAGGCACTCCCCCTTCTCTAAATAATTTATGATGATGATGATGATGATGATGGTGAACCTAAGACTAATAGCTGGTAGCAGCAGCAGGGTAAGACACTGTACCTAACACAGTGATAAAGGGAGAGGCTTATGGGAGTTTGTTTAGGAGATTTTGATTTGGTCATTGTGGCAAAAACAGGCTCTTCTAAAACGTCTGCTCGGGGATGACTGTGTTGAAGGGGTAGTCCCAGAACGTGGTGGTGATGCCAAAACCTGTACAAAAAAAAAAATACAGGATGAACAGAAGGTTTTAAAAAGGAGAAAACAAAATCAATGCAAACAACAGGTTAAATGTAATAATTAAATACAATTAAATATTTTAAAACATTAAAATAAATATTTAATATTAAACAATATGCAATAAATATGATTCTTTAACATAAATCTTTTAAATGCCATAGCCCTGAAGACGTACACACACACAAACAATTTATAATACATTTTCAAAATTATTTCAATTAATAATATTATATTTCATATTAGCAATATAATAATACTGTTTTACTATTATTTTATATTGTACTATATAGAGTGCTCATATATATATATATATATATACACACACACACAATTTATAATACACTTTCAAAATTATTATTTCAATTAATAATATATTTAATATTAACAGTATAATAATTTATATAACATTTTTATTCATTTAATTATTAATATTAATTAAATTTTTACATTATATGGTTATATATTGTACTATATTTATACATCATATACACACACACAATTTATAAGAACAATACATTTTCAAAATTATAATTTCAATGAATAATATTTAATATTGAAAATAATAATACTTTTACTATTATTTTATATTGTACTATATAATTTATACATCATATATATATATATATATATATATATAT